TTAAGTTTAGATTTAAGTTTTATTTCTTCCGGACTATAGCATTAAAAGTACAAAAAAGAGGAAAACATTTTGGTGGTCCATCACTATGTACTGTTACTTTCGACCAAATAATTGCAATAAGTACTATCATTTTAGCATGAGGGACTGTTTATAGTACCTTCTTTATGTGTCCGTTTGGGATTTTGACGTCAAAATGTGTAGTAGTATGTGAGAGGACGGGCTGCATCATCAGCCTATCCATGACTGGAAAGGAATATGGCGAATGAATGTATCAAAAAACGGTGGAATTATTGTGAGCAAGTGCCTGGTTCTGGGGGTCTAGGTCAGCTAAGATGGTGTCCAGCGTCTCCTCAGCCGGACTTGGAAGGAAAGGAGTGATTTGATAGTCCAGACCCCTCCGTGGTGTCGCCTTGTCATGGTAAGAGGCTCACATACACCTCCCTTGGACAGGTGAGGGTTGCCTTTGTCCCCTCTCCTGCCCCTCTATGGGTGTTGCATGTGCAGAAGGGCACCAAATAGGGTCCTTGTGAGTCATCGGACCGCCTGCTGGAAGGGTCGCCCGTGAGTGGCTGCCCTAACTGGATGACTGGGGTGAAAGGGAGAATGGATGAAGTGGTAGGACCTCCCTGTTAAAAAGGGGGGAGCACCACTAGGAACAACGCACCCCTTCCTGCACTGGCATGCGCTCGGCCTCCCAGGCTGCCCTGGTAGGTGATATCCCTTGGTTCCAGGCCCCAGACTTGTTATAACGACTGCTGCATGGAAACCGAAATGACAGCATTATCAGGCTCGTGAGGTGGGCGACCAGGCCCCCGAGTCGGACTGTGATGGAAGACCGGGCTCTGTAGCTCCCGCCACATTGGGTTCAGACCAAACTACTCCCCCTCTCCCTTCTTTGTGGGTAACTTTGAGCCCCACGCCCCCAGTGGTGACCACCTCGTACCCTAGCACGGCTCTGTCTCTCATTGTGACTACTGCGGCTTTTAACCCCTCTTTGGGGGTTCTCAACGCCGCCCCTGCCACGGCCGCACTTTCACGATCCCTTCCCATCATAATACGTACCACGCCTTGTTTGGTCCTTCTACGTGGGCTAAATACTTTGATCTCAACCATCTGGATTCTACACCCGATGATTTCTCCCTCCATAAACACCTTATTGATTCAGTAGATACCTCTGTTACTTTTAACCCCACCTGTCTCGGTACACGTGTCACTGCTCCTTCTCGGAATGCAGCTACCAGCTTAGCTGCATTGTCCTGCATTGGGGAGACCCCTGTTCGGGTCTCCAAAAACGCTCGGTTAAACGCCAGTGTTGGCACTGTACTCCTGCACCATGTTGCAACTTGTGTTAGGGACCTAAAAGAATGCCACGAGGATATTAAACATACACTCAAAGCCCAAGGACATTCAGTCGTTCAGGTGGACACGTTCACTCGACCCCCTCGTGGTCGTCGACATCAGCCCTTTCTAGTTGTGAAAATTACCTTTGATAGTCGGACCCTTCCACCCTCTAATTCTTGCTGGTGCCAGATGCTCCGTTCAGGAGTACATTATCTCTCCTAGACTTTTGCAATAAGTGCTGGAAGTTCGGGCATGGTGCCCTCAAATGCATAAGTAATGTGTGTGTATGCCCCATGTGTGGGGACGAAGGTCACTCAAAGACAGAGTGGTCTTCTCCTCAGGCTTGCTGCCTCGATTGTGGTGAGGTCCACCCTACCTTTTCCCACTCAAATATTCACTACAAACTTGAGGAAGCTGTCCTCAACCTGAAACACTGGGATCGTTTGTCTTTTCCTGAAGCGAGACACCAAGTCCGCAGTCTCAACCCTTTCACTGGCGTATCTTATACTCGCGTGTTGCGTTCTACCTCTCCTCGTCCTTCCTACCTTACTTAGTCTCACAACCGTTTCCAGGCCTTGGACCCGGACATGCCCACTGTCTCCTCCCCTGTTCCTTTACGTTCTGTCCCGAAAGTCCCCCTCCTGGTTCTCCATCTGGAGTTTCTCCCCTTCCTACCCAGTCTGACATGTCTCCCGTGTCTTGTTTCCCATCTCCCCCCGATCCTTATTCCCAACCTTCCCCCCAGTCTCTTGGCTCTCCACGCTGCCTGTCTGTCCAGGCAGGCCTTTTGGTATGTTTGTGAACTGGTTCACTACTCAACATACGATCAGAATTAATACTAAAGCCTTTTCGCACAGAACAACGGGTCTGGGAAGGGTGGAGCGATGGTTGATGGTAAGGGCTGTGGAGGGGGTGGGAGGGGGTGTTAGGGTGGGGGTTGATGGGGGTGAGGGTATGATCATCCCCATTACCTCACCCCATCTCAGTACACCTCACACCTCCACCCCAGATGTGTGTAATGGCAAAGCTCCCAGGGTTAGATCTTAAATTACATATATTCATTCAGTAGTGGAAAAACACTTACCCGCAAGTCTCCCAGTGTTGCTGGCTCCAGAAGTTGTGTTTCCCACATTCAGTAAAAATGCCTACTGGCTTTACCCGAGTGACTGCTCTTACTGACTGATGCTAAATGCCATTTAGGTGTGGGCTGTGATTGGATTAGATAGAAGAAAATTGAAGACTGGTATGAGACGAGGCTCGTTACTCAGTCCAAGCGAAATTAAAAGATCTATAACTCAGGCTATAATCATTATTTGTTATGAATACTGAGACACGCGTGTAAGCTCCCACAACCTTGGAGGGGGAAAGTAAATAGACCTGAGTGCTAGGTGTAGGGGAAGGGGGCCTGCTAGAGCGTGGGTATGGTGTGCAGTAAGGCCTCATTTAGCCCAGTTATGTGTCAAACTCCAAAGAGGCGAGCCGCCCACGAAGGCTTACTCCCCGCCCAGGCATGCGCGACATAGAGGACCACATACCTATGTGGTAAGCCCTGCTATGTGGTCCACTATGCACGCTTCCTCTGAGGCGAGGTTGGTGGGGGGAGATGAGGGTGTCAACTGGTTTGGGAGGGGGAGATGTTATGTTTACTTTGCTAACACCTCAATGCTTGAAATTTGTATGTTGAGGTCATGGCTCACCTTTGGGAAAGAACAATGACACACTCACGGCTACGAGGAGGTTCGTTATTCTGAGTTCAAGTGACATTATAAGCGAAATTAAAAAAAAAATATCTCCACTTCGGGCTATAGACATTATTTGATATGAATACAAAGACACATATATAATGTGTTTATCTCGTTTATGGCGGACTGAGGAATTGTCAAGTAATGAGGACTGTCACCTGCATGGGAGGGGGGGGGGAGGGGGGGTGCAACACATGACACCACCTTAACGCGAACACAGTCCACTCCTGTGTGGGGCGTCAAAGACCACACACCCTTACTGAGTGCTCTGCTGCTGCTGCTATGTGGCGGTGTGAGCTATGCTATAGTGTATTGCTGTCATTCAACACAGTAAGGTCTCGGGCTTCAAAGAGGTGAGCCACACAAACGGTCTAGACCTTCAAAAAGGTGACCCGCCATGTGCACATGTCTATGTGCTCATGTGGAGAGTATGTCCCGCCACTCTTTACCACTCTGGAAGTCTTACCTCCCCTCTTTACAAAAACTATTACGGATCATTCCCACCCTTCTTATGCTGCTGTGACCTCCTTCCGTGTACACCCCTCGACTCCTGTGACCTCCTTCCGTGTACACCCCTCGACTCCTGTGACCTCCTTCCGTGTACACCCCTCGACTCCTGTGACCTCCTTCCGTGTACACCCCTCGACTCCTGCATGACCTCCTTCCGTGTACACCCCTCGACTCCTGTGACCTCCTTCCGTGTACACCCCTCGACTCCTGTGACCTTCCGTGTACACCCCTCGACTCCTGTGACCTCCTTCCGTGTACACCCCTCAACTCCTGTGACCTCCTTCCGTGTACACCCCTCAACTCCTGTAACCTCCTTCCGTGTACACCCCTCGACTCCTGTGACCTCCTTCCGTGTACACCCCTCGACTCCTGTGACCTCCTTCCGTGTACACCCCTCAACTCCTGTGACCTCCTTCCGTGTACACCCCTCGACTCCGACATGAAAACTAATAACCCGCGGACGAAGATATTGGAGACCCACTCCACAGGCAGAGAATTGGTAACATATATACACTTCACTACATAAAACAGACACGAGAATGAGAGACGCACGTTATCAGTCAAAGCTTCCGCCCGCTCGCCTCCCTACCCCTTATCTTGGTTATCTTGAGATGATTTCGGGGGTTTAGTGTCCCAGCGGCCCGGTCCTCGACCAGGCCTCCACCCCAGGAAGCAGCCCGTGACAGCTGACTAACACCCAGATACCTATTTTACTGCTAGGTAACAGCAGCATAGGGTGAAAGAAACTCTGCCCATTGTTTCTCGCCGGCGCCTGGGATCGAACCCAGGACCACAGGATCACAAGTCCAGCGTGCTGTCCGCTCGGCTGACCGGCTCCCTAACCAGACATCTTAAAAAGCTCGGTCTCCTACCCCCACCAAACCATGGGTAGAGAGCTCCCCTATAGGCCTCTCAACATATCCTTCCTACATATTATTTTTAAGTATATATCTACACACGATTAACTCTACGGCACATACTCATACATATTCACTTACTACTACTACTAGTATTGCCCACCTGTTCAGTTCACTACTCCCCCCTTTTACCCTCAGCGACCCTCAACGTCCCAGGGGACGTCACCCATCCCACCTCATGTGCAAGCATCCCCTCCCACCCTCTCTCTACCTTTGTTGATGTACACCTGTCCCATACTTATCCCCCCTTCACCCTCTTACCTATACACCCTCCTTTTACTCCCGTGACGCACAACGTCTCCTGTGACGCCACCCGTCTCATTCTATGGACTCCCTAACCCACTTTTGGCGTAGACCGAGTTCGATCCCCGAGGTTCTCCTCAAGTTTGGGACGGTCTACGTATCAATTTTAATCTACTGACGACCTGGCCGCGGGGATGCTAAGCCTGGAAATGATCTCCAGGTAACCTGGGTGCAGGGGAGGACCTACCGGCATGAGCTCCATCCAGCTGTCGGAGGTGGTCTTGGAGCGGCAGGGGTTGTGGCAGGCGGTGCTGAGCTTCTTGCGCCAGTAGTAGTTCACCACCGTGAACTCCAGCAGCGCCGCGAAGATGAACGCCGTGCACACACCCATCCAGATGTCCAGCGCCTGGGGGTACACCGCGCAGTTAATGGGGTGAGGAACGTGAGATGGGGGGGGGGGAGAAGGGAAGGGAACTATGAGGAGAAAGCGCCAAGCCATTACGGCTATATAGCAGGGAGTGAGAATGGGTGGATAAAGTTGATAAGGGGTAGAATGGGTGAGGGGGGTCGGCTGAACACCCCCCCCCCCATGCTATACTAGTAGTAGTACTACACTTTAGGCGTTCACGAGTGTTCAAGACAATGAAGACACTGCTGTATATGAGGAGTACAACTTCAAAATAGAAAAGCATTCAAATCATCTATATTCTATAGGTTAATATACTATCAGAATACTTTCCAGTTGAAAACTTGATATATTGGGAATTGAAACTGTTTCTGACAATTCAAAAACTATATTGGTTTACCAAACATTAATTACCTAGGTTCGAATCCAACAGATTCGATATAGAACCTTTCGTCAACAGATCAGCAGCCCGTCCTCCAGACAAAGACCCAAAAGTGATTCCATCCACCCGCCAAACCCCCTGTTTATGAATGAAAACGGTTTATACACGACTCACAACTGATTTCGTTCGAACACTTCCGGAACAAGTGCTTCACTGACGAATTTTGTTCGAACCACAATGCTATAAATGCTTCACCCACGTACTACAAATACAAATAATCACCAACAGAACCTAAACACCTAACCTAACCTATGCCTGAATATGCACAATATGCTAATATATTATATAATTAATGTATATTTGAGAAAATTTCCGTTTTGAATGAACAGCATGTTAAAATTTATGAATGCGTCTGTGGGGTCGACCGCTGGATGGAATGGACTTGAGTCGAGGACGGGTTGCAACACGTCCTCCAGTCAAGTTCATTATATCCAGCGGCACCACTGCTGCTACCACACACCAACCACCACAACACCCACCACCACTGCTACCACACACCCACCACCACTGCTACCACACACCCACCACCACTGCTACCACACACCCACCACCACCACTACTGCTACAACACACCCACCACCACCACTACTGCTACAACACACCCACCACCACCACCACTGCTACAACACACCCACCACCACCACCACTGCTACAACACCCACCACCACTGCTACAACACACCCACCACCACCACCACCACTGCTACAACACACCCACCACCACCACCACTGCTACAACACACCCACCACCACCACCACTGCTACAACACACCCACCACCACCACCACTGCTACAACACACCCACCACCACCACCACTGCTACAACACACCCACCACCACCACCACTGCTACAACACACCCACCACCACCACCACTGCTACAACACACCCACCACCACCACCACTGCTACAACACACCCACCACCACCACCACTGCTACAACACACCCACCACCACCACCACTGCTACAACACACCCACCACCACCACCACTGCTACAACACACCCACCACCACCACTACTGTTACAACACACCCACCACCACCACCACTGCTACAACACACCCACCACCACTACTGCTACAACACACCCACCACCACCACTGCTACAACTCACCCACCACCACTACTGCTACAACACACCCACCACTGCTACAACACACCCACCACCACCACCACTGCTACAATACACCTACCACCACCACCACTGCTACAACACACCCACCACTGCTACAACATCCCCCCCCCACCACCACCATGGCTACAACACACCCACCACCACCACCACCATTGCTACAACACACCCACCACCACCACCACCACCACCACCATTGCTACAACACACCCACCACCACCACCACCACCATTGCTACAACACACCCACCACCACCACCACTGCTACAACACCCCCCCCCACCACCACCACCATTGCTACAACACCCCCCCCACCACCACCACCATTGCTACAACACCCCCCCCACCACCACCACCATTGCTACAACACCACCACCACCACCACCATTGCTACAACACACCCACCACCACCATTGCTACAACACACCCACCACCACCATTGCTATAACACACCCACCACCACCACCATTGCTACAACACACCCACCACCACCACCATTGCTACAACACACCCACCACCACCATTGCTACAACACACCCACCACCACCACCACCACCATTGCTATAACACACCCACCACCACCACCATTGCTACAACACACCCACCACCACCACCATTGCTACAACACACCCACCACCACCATTGCTACAACACACCCACCACCACCACCATTGCTACAACACACCCACCACCACCACCATTGCTACAACACACCCACCACCACCACCATTGCTACAACACCCCCCCCCACCACCACCACCATTGCTACAACACCACCATCATTGCTACAACACACCCACCACCACCACCACTGCTACAACACACCCACCACCACCACCACCACTGCTACAACACACCCACCACTGCTACAACACACCCACCACCACCACCACTGCTACAACACACCCACCACCACCACCACTGCTACAACACACCCACCACCACCACCACCACCACCACTGCTACAACACACCCACTACCACCACCACCACCACTGCTACAACACACCCACTCCACCACCACCACCACCACCACTGCTACAACACACCCACTCCACCACCACCACCACCACCACCACCACTGCTACAACACACCCACCACCACCACCACTGCTACAACACACCCACTCCACCACCACCACCACCACCACCACCACTGCTACAACACACCCACCACCACCACCACTGCTACAACACACCCACCACCACCACTGCTACAACACACCCACCACCACCACCACTGCTACAACACACCCACCACCACCACCATCACCACTACTGCTACAACACACCCACCACCACCACCACCACTGCTACAACACACCCACCACCACCACCACCACCACTGCTACAACACACCCACCACCACCACTGCTACAACACACCCACCACCACCACTGCTACAACACACCCACCACCACTGCTACAACACACCCACCACCACCACCACCACTGCTACAACACACCCACCACCACCACCACCACTGCTACAACACACCCACCACCACCACCACCACTGCTACAACACACCCACCACCACCACCACCACTGCTACAACACACCCACCACCACCACCACCACTGCTACAACACACCCACCACCACCACCACCACTGCTACAACACACCCACCACCACCACCACCACCACCACTGCTACAACACACCCACCACCACCACAGTAGTAGGATTGATGACTACGACCGTGCGTTTTGGTTTTTTCCAAAGCCGGTCGTAGCTTCAGGGGTTTTTGATGGCTACGACCGGCTTTGGAAAAAAACCAAACCGCACGGTCGTAGCTTCATGGGTTTTTGATGGCTACGACCGGCTTTGGAAAAAACCAAAACGCACGGTCGTAGCTTCATGGGTTTTTCCTATTTTTTTCCCTATGTCGGTCGTAGCATCTGGGGTTTTTCCTGTTTTTTTTCCCCTATGCCGGTCGTAGCATCATGGGTTTTTGTGAATTTTTTGTTCCTATGCCGGTCGTAGCATCACAATTTGCCTGGGGGTAGGATTAAAAAGCCGGTCCCTGGCATCCCCAAATTTCGTTGGCTTAGTGACCCTGCACAGACATTGCTAATGGTCAATGACGTCACCAGCTAGCCGCTCAGCGTTCCTGCACCGGCATGTTCGAGGGGATTAAAAACCCGGTCGTAGCATCTGGGGTTTTTCCTGTTTTTTCCCTATGTCGGTCGTAGCATCATGGGCTTTTGTGAATTTTTTGTTCCTATGCCGGTCGTAGCATCATAGTTTTTTGTTCCTAGGGATTAAAAAGCCGGTCCCTGGCATCCCCAAATTTCGTTGGCTTAGTGACCCTGCACAGACATTGCTAATGGTCAATGACGTCACCAGGTAGCCGCTCAGCGTTCCTGCACCGGCATGTTCAAGGTGATTAAAAAGCAGGTCTATGAGTCGTGTGTTTTGCGATACAACAGTACCGAGGGTCACGGTCCGTCATACCTGTTTTTCGTTACAGTATTAAGGGGTCACGATCCGTCATACCTGTTTTTCGTTGCAGTTTCGAGGGGGCACGATCCGTCATACTTGTTTCGAGGGTCACGGTCCGTCATACCTGTTTTTCGTTACAGTATTAAGGGGTCACGATCCGTCATACCTGTTTTTCGTTACAGTATTAAGGGCTTTTTTCGAGGGACACGACTTGGCGTACCTGTTTTTCGTTGCAGTTTTGATGGGACACGACTTGGCGTACATGTTTTTCGTTGCAGTTTTGATGGGACACGACTTGGCGTACCTGTTTTTCGTTGCAGTTTTGATGGGACACGACTTGGCGTACATGTTTTTCGTTGCAGTTTTGATGGGACACGACTTGGCGTACCTGTTTTTCGTTGCAGTTTTGATGGGACACAACTTGGCGTACCTGTTTTTCGTTGCTTTTTTCGAGGGACACGACTTGGCGTACCTGTTTTCGTTGCAGTTTTGATGGGACACGACTTGGCGTACCTGTTTTTCGTTGCTTTTTTCGTGGGACACGACTTGGCGTACCTGTTTTTCGTTACCGCAGTGGGCCATGCACAGACATTGCTAATGGTCAATGACGTCACCAGCTAGCCGCTGAGCGTTCCTGCACTGGCAGGATCAAGGGGATTAGAAAGCCGGTCTATGAGTCGTGTGCTTTGTGATACAACAGTAACCCTGAAACCTAATGTAAAATACCATCATCCCTAGACTATTTTAAAATTTCCTATTTACTTCCAACCATTGGCCATTGCATGAAACAAAAGGGGAGCAGCACTGCAAGAAGTTATATGTGTATTTTTCGAGTTCTTCCCCTGTTACCTGTATTTACCCAGGTATTTTTCTAAATCTAAAAAACCAATCCAATTCATTCCTGTTCTGTTCCATGTTTATACGTTTAATAGGTTATTAATATTCCCCTTTACTATGACCATTCAGTCACACCTCTATCATGTC